TACTTTTTTGTCTATTCAATTGTTGAATACACTTGACAAGAATTTGTATAATGTCCAATTTTATTACAATTTTGACACATAGAGAAATATGGAGAACATTTTGAACAGTTTGCTTTATGTTGACAACTTCCACAATGAAAACAATTGATTTGATATCGGAGTAAGTGTTGGATGATTAATAACAAGTCTTTGTATTGTCCTAGATTATTTGATTAACTGTTTTATACACCTTTTTCCATGTTAATTGACTCTTATTCAATGTGGGTAGATAATCACAGATATAGTCATCTCTTTCACACTGATTATCAACTGTTGATTAAGCATAACACTTTCAATTTTATTCTGTGGTATACTGTTGTAACCATATGATTTGATTGGAACCTGAAGGTTGCGGGTTCGATCCCTGGAGGGCAGGGTCATGGGTGCGCACTACTGAGGAGTCCCGTACTAGGACGAAACAGCTGCCGATTCGGTGCTCCCAGGTTTCTTTCGTTCCTCCAGCTGATATCAGTCTACGATGAATAACAACTTGATTGTATCTAACAAATGTGAAATATACACATTCAACAGTTCATCTTGTTCTTGCATTAACAATGCAAACTTTAACCTAGACGCATAGACATTTTTGTCTACACCTCAAATGTTGTCCAGTATACGCAAAGAATCTTTTAAACTAGACGAAGATGATAAACATTGTCGATCAAAATTATGATGACCTTTTTTATCCAAATAGTATTGTAGAAATTTTCAGTTTTGTACACTCAGTTACCTCCAAGTTAGAAGTAGACGTCATCAGGATTATATTTAAGTAAGAGAAGGATAATAATTTCCATTCCTCTCAATATTTGGATGAAGGTTGATTTGAAGAATTTTCCCCAAAAATAAGCCGATAGTGATGGTGTATTGATAACACTGGATAATGTTGATCCTTTAATGACAATATTCGTTGGTGCATAGAACGACACACACACACACACACACACACACACACACACACACACACACACACAAATATGTACTATTATTTCAATGTATACAAAAGTGAAAATAAGGCATCAAGGAAATAACGATTGACGAGAGACAGAAAAAGACGAAATCTAAGGAATTAAAAGAATGGTGCAAAGCCTTACACACCAACATACAGGCAAACACCTTGAAGATAAAACGAATCACATTGCCAGCAAACATGAAACATTGGATCTAAAGAGAACAGTGTAAAACACGAAGTACTAGCCATATTATATGTTAACTATGTATATAGTAAGAAGGTGGCTTGGATATGCATTGTGAATGCCGAACTAGCCCCTACCTCGATGTACAATATTAAGCAAAATAGGAAAGCGGTTAGAAGAGAGCTCAGAGTGGCTCTAATGTATAATTGTTGACCTGTATCATGTAGACAGATGTAGACGATAGGAATCAGTAGTTGAGCATACATCGCAGATGTTACGTTTAGACTACTTTTCCTCCTACACACCTTTGTGTACTTTAGTATCAGTTTTTTTTTTCTTCTGTCCATTTGTTCTCTGTATACTACTACTGTGAAGGGATTCACTTATGTGTCAGGTACTATGTTGATTTTCTTTGTATATATATAAAATAACATGAGAACTCAGTTTATGTACCTGTCCATGTACCAGGCTATGGAGCATATAATAAATGTGACTGCTTACCAGGTTTTCTAAGTCTAAATAGGTAGAGAATGGATTATGAACGTTGGATTCATTGCTTCAGAGTAAAGTGTCTACACAGCATTCCCTACATACACTAATGTTTTCCTCATCAATTCGATAAAGTTGCCATCATTCAATTAACATCATACTTATTGAATCTCTGAAATGAACTTGCTACTTATTGAATCTCTGAAATGAACTTGTCCAGTTAAACATATTATCATTAAACTATGTGATTCAATTATCATAGATAATTTAGAATAGTTCACTTGGAGAGTAGATATTTATGATAAACTATGAGTTTGTATAACCTCGCCTGGTTAACTAGTTCACTAGTTACTAGCCGGTCCTAAGCCCGGGTAAAGAGGGAAGGCTGGGCATAAGGCTAGCAACCCCACCTCGTAAAACAAATCTAACCGCTAAAGAAACTTCAAAGTACAAACGATATATAAAAAATAATAACAAAATAATTCCTCGCTGGAGTCGGAGAGGCGAAATGACGCCAGTTGGTGAAAGCCTGCCTTCGGGAAGCCAATTGGCGGATGTCTTCTCTCGATGAAAGCGAAAGTAAACGTGGGGACGTGGAATGTCCGCACCATGTTTGAACCCAGCAAGGCAGCCCAGATTGCAAAAGAGATGCGGAACAAGATACGGATTTTCAACACCAAAGTCAAGTCAGTGCTTTTGTATGGTTCAGAGACTTGGCGCGTTACCAAAGGGATTTCCAATAAACTACAGACATTCATCAACAACTGCCATCTACGCTGGCTCGTTACTGAAGATCAGATGGCCAGAATAATGAGAATAAGCAACAAGGAACTCTGGGAACGAACCAACCAACAACCTATCACCCAACAAATATGCAGGAGGAAGTGGAGATGGATTGGACATGCACTGAGAAGGCCGACTGGGGACATCACGCGTCAGGCCCTCGAGTGGAATCCCCAGGGGAAGCGATGAGTTGGACGTCCGAGGGTGACATGGAGGAGATGGTGCGAGGAGGAAATGAGAGCTTGTGGGCTGTCGTGGAACCAGGTTCAAAAGATCTCAGAGAACAGAGTTCATTGGAGACGTGCTACTGAAGCCTTATGTTCCACTTGGAACCCAAGGGACTAATAATAAAAAAATAATCAATGAGTTTCTATGGAAAGTTTTGTGTACACTTTGTATGATGTCACATAGTTTCAAGTTAATAAAAATATTTAAATTACCTAAACTGTACAGTTTCAACAAAAAGTGGGAAAATGTAACAGCAAAACATAATATGAGGGAAAGAAACCCGAATAAATTTCATTTTAGCCACCAGTCTCAACCTAATCTCGCTTCCAATAGTATGCGTAGCATGCCAACGTAGGCGATGAATCAATCAATATCATGCATAGGACAAGGCATTACTGCATAACACTCCCACTTCCCACACACCTCACTACATCAAGTAGAAAAGTAGTGAGGCGCAAGATGAAGATAAGAGAATACAGTCAAAAGAAATATAAAGTATGAAAACAGAGAAAAGAATAACAAAATGGTGAGATCCGATATAGAATCGTTAAGATGACGATAATGTGTGTGGGGATACATCTACACCACTGACATCACTTCTCACTCATATCATCTACAGTCAGTCTCCAAACACTGCTCCCTCTCCCTCTTCTCCCGCACACCCCCAACCACTTAGTCTACATCGCCACACATGCCTCAAACAAACACTCAGAGACTTCATACATTCGTGTCATGTTTCAGTCTGACAGCTCTTTCTCGCCTTTTTCCAGTCTGGACCCACCTCAGCCAACATTGTGTGATGAGGCAATCGGTGACTAGGCATATGTAGTACGTGTCCCAGCCACCCATCTCAGTTGATCAAGGTTCATAACCTCATCAACTGATTTACCTCTTCTCTATTCCCTAAAACTCTATACCTGACTTCTGCATTAATCAGGTGGTGACACCACGGAATACGGACACTACTAAGGAGACAACGTCATCGATCAAATTGCCTATCTTCCCTAGTACCCATCCTGTGACATCAACATTCCTCACATGGAGATTTCACCGCACGCGGCCAATACTACAAAGACACCTATAGTTAAAAATTTGTACTCGCTTTATGTCTACTACTTTCAACGGCAATTTTTCACAACCGTAAATGAAGACTGAACGCAATAGAGTGAAGTGTACTTATCGTTTTATAGATACTCGAATATTTCACCGGTCAGCACCACAGATGACGCAAGTTGGCAAATACCAAACGGCTTTTCTGTATCCGAGCATACAAGTACTAATTGTTCCTCCAGGATTGGTCTTCAACGATGCCTTCGCTAACAATAGTGAGTGTAGTGGTTGAATGCGTCGACCACTTCACTTACCTCGGAAGTAGGATCAGCCATGCCCTGGTGGCTCAGTGGTCGATGAAATCTCTGCACAAATACAAAAGGCTCAGTAGGCTCCCGACAACTAACACCACCACATCCGATTGTCTATTAAGGACCGCGTGTACTGCACACCAGTCCACTCTCTTCTACTCTATGACTGTGAAACATGACCATTGAAGATGGAAGACAGGAGAAGGCTTCAAGTGCCACACGTGAGTAATGCAGAAGTCAGGTATAGAGTTTTAGGGAATAGAGAAGAGGTAAATCAGTTGACACGGTTATGAGCCTTCATCGAGTGAGATGGTTGGGACACGTGTTACATATGCCCAGTGTCACCATCTCCCTCTTCACACAATGTTAACCGAAGTAGGTTCAGTCTGGAAAAAGGCTTGAGGCTCTCGACCAGACTAAAACATCACATGCCATCAATATATGAAGTGTTCGACTGTTGGTTCCAGTCATGTGAGTCGATGCAGGCTAGCTGGTTGGAGTCGGCAAGACAAGAAGAACCAGTGGTTGTAGACTGAATCTAGGTGGTATGGTTGAGAACCGATGTCAGTGATGCAGATCTATACACACATTATCTTCATCTTAATGACACTACACTACACCACACCAGATCTCACCATTTTCTCATTCTTCCTTTCTCTATTTTACTATTTTATATTTCCTTTGACCGAATTTTCCTTCCTTATTCATCATCATCTTCCACTTGACTACCTGCCTTTTTTTACTTGATATGGTGGGTGATATGAGGTGTGTGGCAAGTGGGACTGTTATGTAGTAATGTCTTGTCCTATATTGATTTGCATGGATGGATTTCGTCAGCAATCAACCCCTTCAACCGACAGGAATCTGAATATAACCGAATAAAACGATTAACTACAGTATACAGTATAAAATATCAACTTTAGTATATCCTTCCTAGGAATGATAATAATAATAATAATCCACTTACCATCAGTTAATCGTTCATCGGTGTGTAAACGACTCGACAAGCATTCTGAATGTACAGATGATATTAAATGCCCTCGAGATGTGGAACGATCATGATTAGTTGGTTCAAGTAATCCTCCACGACGATGATCAGAGTTATTAGTATTATTTACAAGACCACTTGAAGCAGTTAAACTATTCATTGAACCACCATAACCACTACTTCCAGTACTTGAATTAGAAAATGGAGTATGTTCAGCACTTTCACCTTCACTTCCAGCAGTTGTATTATATGTACATTGTTGATTTGATCGATTGTATGTATCAAGTGTATGAAGATTATCATGAAGTGGAGGAGATATAGTACCATTTTGACTATTTTCATCATGATTATGATTTGTGAATGAATGTATAATAGATCTTCGAATAGATTTATCAGAAGCTGAATATGATAAGTCAATTTGTTGAAGATCTGTTGAATTTGAGGTTGTGTTAGATATATCGAATCTAGCACGTTTATGCGGAGATATTATATTTCCAGTATTCATTGAATTGGAACGTTGATTATTAATTGTATCATTAGGATTAGAGGTAGAAGAGTTTGTTGAACGTCCGCCTAGAGATTTATCATCTGCCTGAGGATGTTGATTTAAATTAGAGTTCTGATTTGACGAGGATGAATCTGAATTCGCACTAAGTCGACGATATTTCTGTAACAACAAATATATATATATATATATATATATATATATATATATATATAAACACAAAGGTTAAATATATACAGATGTTTGCCTAGTTATAATGAAAAGCTTTATACACTTTATGGAGTAAACTAGGGAACCGTAAACTATTAACCCAATATGAAAGTGTTTATAGAATCAATTTGTACATCTCTTGATATCAAAAATCATTCAGCAATCTTATGTATATTTGTTGAATGAGCAATGATCTACACCTATTTCTTGTAAGTTAATGATACTACTAAATGACTGCTTAAACTTCGGTAGGTGGGGTAGGGTTCGAACTCGGTACCCATTGGTTGAATGTCATCAACTCTTCAAACCAATGAGCAATAACTCTCTACATTAAAAATCACACCTTCATCAGCACTCACTCATACAACTACTCAGATACACAAACTTTTTGACTACTTCTAACAGTTCACCATGGAGAGTCAGTGTAGGCACAGACTCCTTCCAATCATGCAAATGTACTTTGTACCATAATAATGCAAAGCAAATGCCATACTGCTGATAATGATAGGTGCGGCTGGGACATGTATAATGCATATTCTTCAATCACAAGAAGGTCTACTATAACCCATGATATTCCTGATTGTAGTCGACTGGATCATGCAACAAACTGTGACGAGCGAGAAGAGGGGGATGACTTATGTCTAATGTCACACAAACTCGATGATCTACAGGTATAATCCAACAAGTTGATAGAAGAGGTGAGGCAAGGCAGGGAAAACGGGACTTCAAGTGAACGTAGAGAAGACAGAGGTGATGAAGATACCCGACCAACAACAACAACAACAAACACCAATCACCAACAACGGGAGAAACTTGAAGGAAGTAGCCTCTTTCACCTACCCGACTGGACAGGACAGCATCCTTTCAACTACAGGTGGCACAGGCACAGACGATTATGTCAAAACCAGCCAGGATTGGAAAGACAGCAAGACAAGTGTTCATTAACCTGAAACCAATCAGTGTGGAGATCAACTGCACTCAGCATAAAGCGTCAACAACATCCGAATTCTCAACACCAATTCAGTCAAGTCAGTGCTGCTATTTGATGCCACCCATGCTCGGTCACTTGATACTGACACTGAAGATCAGATAGCCAGAACAATAGGAATAAACAACAAGGAAGTCTGACTGGCTGGCAACGAACCAACGAAGCAAGGACCTATCACCCAACAAATATGCACTGGAAGGAAGTGGAGATGGATTGGATTGGGCATACACTGAGAAGGCCGATTGGGGACATCACGTGCCAGGCCAGCCGTCGAGTGGAACCGAAAGGGGAAATGACAAGTTGGGCGTCCGAGCCGAGAGTAATATAGAGATCATGTGAGAAATAAATGAAAGGTTATGGGTAGTCGTGGATCGAGGTTCAAAAGACTGAAGAGAAGGGAGTGGAGTGGAAACGTTCTACTGAAGCCCTATATTCCACTAGGAACCCAAGGGGAAATTAATAATAATAATCACACAGATTCATCTACTGTGATATCACTCCTTTTCTGTCTGATTGTTCTTTGTATACAACTGTGAAGTGTGAGAAGTTGAAGGAATGTACTTGTGTACGAGGTTCTACGTTGATTCTCTGTCTGTCTGTCTGACATAAAAACAGTGTTCACTCAAATAATGTTAACGCGTAGGCATGGAAGACTATTGATTATCATCGATCATTGTATTCACTCATTCCTATGGATTTACATACATAGTTCTTGTGATCTAATGCCAAACTTGTAAATCTGCTACTGAATAATTGAAAAAAATGGGCACTAATTACAGGGCCGGTAGTTTGACCTCATCTCCATAAATCCTTCATGCAGACATTTGAATGACTGTTTTTTTGTTGGGTGCTTCAATTTCCGGTTAACTATCAGCCGTTTCTGTTATATTTTTCAAGTGAAATATGTAGTATGGAATGGAAATCATTAGGCACATGTAATTTGTTCGTGGGTATTTAAGTTATAGTTTTGTGCAGCAACGTCTTCACAGACTGTTGTCTTCAACGGTGCTATGGCTAACAATAGACAGTGTAGTGATTGAGTGTGTCGACCACTTCACTTACCTGGGAAGTAGGATCAACCCTGCCCTGATGGCTGTGGTCGATGAAATCTCTGCAAGAATGCAAAAGGTTCGGTTGGCTTTCGACCGCGTTGCCACCACCATATCCGATTTTCTATTAAGGACCGCGTGTACTGCACACCAGTCCACTCTCTTCTACTCTATGACTGTGGAACATGACCATTGAAGATGCAAGACATGAGAAAGCTTCAAGTGTCACACGTGAGTAATGCAGAAGTCAGGTATAGAGTTTTAGGGAATAGAGAAGAGGTGAATCAGTTGACACGGTTATGAGCCTTCATCGAGTGAGATGGTTGGGACACGTGTTACATATGCCCAGTGTCACCATCTCCCTCTTCACACAATGTTAACCGAAGTAGGTTCAGTCTGGAAAAAGGCTTGAGGCTCTCGACCAGACTAAAACATCACATGCCATCAATATATGAAGTGTTCGACTGTTGGTTTCAGTCATGTGAGTCGATGCAGGCTAGCTGGTTGGAGTCGGCAAGACAAGAAGAACCAGTGGTTGTAGACTGAATCTAGGTGGTATGGTTGAGAACCGATGTCAGTGATGCAGATCTATACACACATTATCTTCATCTTAATGACACTACACTACACCACACCAGATCTCACCATTTTCTCATTCTTCCTTTCTCTATTTTACTATTTTATATTTCCTTTGACCGAATTTTCCTTCCTTATTCATCATCATCTTCCACTTGACTACCTGCCTTTTTTTACTTGATATGGTGGGTGATATGAGGTGTGTGGTAAGTGGGACTGTTATGTAGCAATATCTTGTCCTATATTGATTTGCATGGATGAAGACTGCCGTATGCCAACGTATGATACCGGCTCAAATAAAATTACAGTCGTTCAAATCTCTGCATGTAGAGATCATTAATGCAGCAATTATTTGTTTAAGTTGGTCATGAAAGTCTAAGCTTCCTGATTGAAAACGTGTAGTTATAGGAGACAAAAAAGGCAAGAAAAGCATCGGATCCAACACAGAAGTACGATGTAAACGAAATAAATTTGTTAAATGTGAATAAAGTAGACAATTATGGGATTTATCGTGTGGAAAACAACTGTTTTCACAAGGTCGAGAAGCGTCAGAAACTTATGCTGTTGTTTTTTTTGTACATACACATTGACCCCAGCTATTTTTAGAATTCCAACGATTCATCTCTAATATTTCAATAACCCCAGTCACTCAGTTAGTTTATGCTTCATGAACTCATGCTAAATCATGTTCTCATCATGTTTAGCTTTCTTCAGTATCACTGTGAAAAATGGATGACTGACTATTATTATTATTATATTATTATTATTATTATTATTATTTATCCCTTGGGTTCCTAGTGGAATATAGGGCTTCAGTAGCACATCTCCAGTTCACTCCGTTTTCTGCAAACTTTTGAACCTGCCTCCACGACTGCTCACAAGCTCTCATTTCTTCCTCACACCATCTCTTCCATGTCACCCTCAGCTCAAACGCCCAACTCGTCGTTTCTCACCTGAGTTACACTCGACGGCTGGCCTGGCACGTGATGTCCCCAATCGGCCTTCTCAGTGTATGCCCAATCCAATCCATCTCCACTTCCTTCCAGTCCATATTTGTTCGGTGATAGGTCCTTGCTTCGTTGGTTCGTTGCCAGCCAGTCAGACTTCCCTGTTGTTTATTCCTATTGTTCTGGCTATCTGATCTTCAGTGTCAGTATCAAGTGACCGAGCATGGGTGGCATCAAATAGCAGCACTGACTTGACTGAATTGGTGTTGAGAATTCGGATGTTGTTGACGCTTTATGCTGAGTGCAGTTGATCTCCACACTGATTGGTTTCAGGTTAATGAACACTTGTCTTGCTGTCTTTCCAATCCTGGCTGGTTTTGACATAATCGTCTGTGCCTGTGCCACCTGTAGTTGAAAGGATGCTGTCCTGTCCAGTTGGGTAGGTGAAAGAGGCTACTTCCTTCAAGTTTCTCCCGTTGTTGGTGATTGCAGCTTGTTGGTGGTGGTGGCGTTGGTTGGGTATCTTCATCACCTCCATCTTCTTTAAATTCACTTGAAGTTCCTTTATCGCTGCCTCTTCTGTCAATTTGTTAGTTTTCGCCCGTAGATCTTCAAGTTTGTACGACATTAAATATAAGTCATCGGCGAAATCCAAATCTTCTAGGCTCTTTTCATCGGTTCACCAAGTTGTGTGATAGGATAAGGTTAGTGCAAATACTCAAGCTTCAGACGACCAACTTTCAGCCATGTCACGAAGAATTCTCAACCAATGATTTCTATAATCTCGCATACTCCACCCAGGTAGTCTACATCTCAGTACACACGGCTCAGACCAATAGTCAGAGATTTCATGTATTGGTGACTTCTTCCAAGCTACCTCAGTCGCTGAAGGTTTCACAACCTCATCTACCACCTTTTTATTGTGTACGAACATACACTTGCATAAAACGCATTAGTAACCTACAAAAATGATCACTCAACATTGTAATCTTTCTCCAATAAAGTTTACATTTAGTACACAACAGAAAGCAGTCAAAAACTTCTAATACTCATACTACTCCTGTTGCTGCTACTTTGTTGCTATTCCTCAAACTTGTATACAACATGATCATAACTACAAACTGGAAGGATCTCTTCAAAACACTAAACTATATTTCAAGTTGTTATTCATCGTAGAATGACATCAGTTGGAGAAACAAAGCTTCGAGAGGTGATTCCCGAAGTTCCAATGAGAAGTCGTGACCGGTGGAGACAAAGCCTGATGGTCATGAGGACAGTTACTCAACGATGATATTGGGTGGCGATTGTTCTATATCGTGAGCCAACAGATTGGATTCCGCAGAGCCAGTGACTCAATGGTGACGTGCTGGCCAAGGAGCCTGAAGGTCGCGGGTTCGAGCCCTGGAGGGCGGGGTCGTGGGTGCGCACTACTGAGGAGTCCCATACTAGGAGGAAACAGTTGGCTTTCCAGTGCTCCCAGGTTTCCTTTATTCCTCCAACTGATGTCAGTCTACGATGAATAACAACTTGAAATATTTTCAAATCCCCACAACTCCCTCGAAATTCAACTAAACTCTATATATTGTGTATAAAAATGAATATGATTCAGAGAAAATAGTTTACAGATGGATCAAATGAGAAACTACTAGCTAGATCAGTCATATACAGTGTTAAAGTCATATTACAAGAAAATGTATCTTGATTACTTACAACCGCCTACAACTGAAATCAGACTAATTTTTAAAAAGACACTTCGACCAGTTGTCAAAGTTCATTGCTTCAATATATACCTTAAAAATACATGAAATATCATGTTATCTTTCTTTGTACTAAGGAAATCTATTAGTGTATAATATGTAGACATATATAAAAGTAAGAATAAGTGGCACCATATGCTAAAATTGTGCTTTACAACCAAATAGTCTGGTTAGGTTGTATATAACTGATGCCTACACATACACTTATCTACTGTGAAACACATAATCCATAGTAATTATACACGATCAACCCGAAAATAGACTTTGAAGTAGTGTATAGTTGTCGAATGATAAAGTCTATAGAAGAAACAAGACACTCTTAGATCATTAAAAAAACCATATGTTCATATGCTAAACTTGAATACCAGTATAATTATTCTAAAAGCTTATTTATTTACTAACGAACATTACACTTCTAAATGTTCTACTGGGTTTTTTTGACCTTTCTTTCTCTACAAAATTCCTTGATAATTTAATCCCTTAATGATTGTTTACCTCAACTTTATCGATTTTGAAAAGGCCATCTTTAACTTCGACCGTGAAGTAAATTGGCGGCTGCCGCTTCAACAATACGGTTTTATTGTCATAAACCTTTATCAAGTTGAATCATGCCAAGTGATTCACAATGGAAAGTTCAGTTATACCTTCGAAGTGAAGACAGGAGTAAGATAATGTTGCCGCCTACTATCACCGATCATCATATTCCTCATTGTGGTCGACTAGACTGGATCATGCAACAAACTGTGAGCAGCGAAAAGACGGACATATGCTGGCTGGACCGATGAAAAGACCCTAGAAGATTTGGATTTCACCCATGATGATTTATGTCTGTCTAATGTTGCACGAACTCGAAGATCTACGGGCGAAAACTAACAAATTGACAGAAGAGGCTCACTCACTCGATACTGAAGATGGGGATCAGATGGTGAGAATAAAGAATAAGCAACAAGGAACTCTGACAACTACTTGGAAACTTATTCTTAGCATACACTTTTTATACTCAGCAATCGGAAGACTTTGTAGTTATTAGTATACTATGATAAGGTAGTCATCCTGGACTAGTCTGCAACTGCTCCCAGTCAGTTTAATGGTAACCAGTGAAGTGAGGGAGGTTGCATCAACCTGGAAAGGGTGATTGCTGGGTGCGCTGCAGTTCGTTTTATCCGGTTATACGACTGTTAGACATAGCCATGAAGAGTAGAAGACATGAAACAGTTCAAGGGTTTTGATTGTAAGTGTCTTTGTAGTAATGCTCGTATATGATGGAATCACCGTGTAAGCAATGCTGAGATGAGGCATCAGCTGAAGTGCTCTGGACATGTGCTGTGCAAGGCGAGCCACCACTTATCTCGAGGTGTCATGTTAGGGGATGATGCATTAGGTTGGAAGAGGATTTCAGGTGACCAGACCAAGAAGTAGCACCAGTCCATAAAGTCGCTGACTGTTTGTCTGAGCCATGTTGGGAGATGTAAAAGATAGGACTCACTACTTGAGAACTCTCAGTGACATAGCTGAACATCGTCGTCACAATAACATAGATTTATTCACTCTCTGACATCTTCTAACGCTTGAATATTTGAACTAACCGTTTTTTTTTAAATGGTTTGTTCTCTTACATTCTTATTCTATCCACCTGTTCTTTGTATACAACTTTGAAGTGTGGTGAGTTGAACCAATGCACATGAGCAGGAGGTTCTAAATTGATTCTGCCTGTTACCTTTGTGAATAAAAAAGGGAAATAGTTTTTTACGCGCAGATTAATTGGTTTGTGTGCACTCTATTGGCAATAGAGTTACTTACTAAATGTCCACTTAAAAGGCTAAGCATATATTCAATATAACAATCTTACCTCACGGAGTTCTGATTCGTTAGCTCGCCACTGATCCAACAGCCCACGAAATACCCCTAAACGAGCAGCAACTTCTACATCGCTTACACCTGCACACAGCATGTCTAATGCAGCTATCTTCTTACTGAGAGCATGAGGTGCTGATGGGGCATTCGCTCTAGTTGGACGTCGTGTGAATTGGTCATCAGATACACGGAGGGAAGACGGGGTAGATGAATTGTCAGGAGATGAAGTTCGAGATCGATTTGTAGGAGATTTAGGGGATGTTTGGGACAACTGACTAGCCTGAATAAAAACAAAGAAAATGAAGTGATGAAGAAAATAACCTTAAAGATTGAATAACAAGAAATAGTATTCATTACGGATTGATCTCAGGTGGGGGAACCATTGAAAATCTGATAGCACTGGAGAGCTGTTTCGTCCTAATATGGGACACTTCAGCAGTACGCACCCATGATGAAGCTAGCGACCGAACTTAGACCTTCAGGTTTCACGGCAAAACGCGTTAACCATTCAATAACATGAGTTTAAATCTGTTGTTGTTTGATACTTGAAATTTCCCCTTGTTATAACAGCGTTGAATTGTCTCGACCATTGTTGGCAGGCAATTCAATGCTGTATAGCAACAGGAAATTTTGAAGCATCAATGAACAACAACTGTTACCTATTGCACAAATACTGGCTTTCGTGATTTAGTGACTCCGGTGGAGAACACTTTAGCGTTTCAAGCGATAACTACTGGATTCAAGTCTCAGTGGGGACAACATCATCAACTGGGCTGACATACATCCGGCTGATAACTCCCAAATGGATAAAACACGCAGCCTAGATTCCGCTGAGAGTCACTTAGATAAAATACAACAGCATGGATTAAACTTAACAAATTTAAATACCTAAAATTAGAGTGTAAACAGCAGATTTTAAAAAAAAAACTTAAGAAATCAGAATATCTAACCTTTAAAGATAATATTCGTTTCCTTTCAGCACCTGTATATCCTGGCCAATTAGCATCTAATTCTGATATCACAGATGGTATAAGATAATAGGCTGACTGTCTTCCAACACGACCAACAGCAGATAGTACATCAGAGATTTGTTCTTTTTGATGACGAGATAAACCATCACGTGATAATCGTAATAATAATTCAGGACGTTGATATGGTCGTAATGCCAATATATGGATAATACGTTCTCTAAAGTATGAAATGTAAACTGATGCATGAGAAATTATCAACATCATATTAAAGAATCGAAAAAAATGTTTTTTGTATTCAATTGATAGATAAAAGCCAGTATTGAACAGTTGAATCTACATTGTTAATGAAGTAACTTTTTAATCAGCAAAACGTTGGTCTGACGTAATTATTAAGTAAAAAAAAGAATAAACTGATATATCCCATAAGAAATACACACGGTAGTAACCGAGTTTTACGGATGTAAAACCCTTCAGTATTGATTTATAGTGTACCTACTACTGGAATTGTAAGAGCACCTGCCCACACCATGTAAGGCTAATTCTTCTTGAGGTACCTGAAAAGACTTTTGTGACTACAGAAGCCATGAGACATATGCTTAAGGTCTGTCACACAGCCTTTTATGTGTTATTGTTTTAAGGCTTGGTTGTTCTAACGCTGGACAGAGAAAATTCATACCACCGGCACCGAAAGATTGTGGGGCAGAGAGTATGCTGTTTTGAGGGTCGACCTTTTCTAACCCTTCCCCTTCCCACTGGGAAGGCAGCATCAGCACGGCACTACTGGAGGAAATACTTTGCTGCTTTCACACTCCATCTAGCTAGCAGTACCACTTTGACCTCAGAATCCTAACATAGTGTAGTAATTTACACGATAACGGTAACTGTTTTTCATCTTATTACTATCCAACAGACCTTTCTGGCATGATAGAAACTCGAGGAAACAAGCGTACCAGCTACTTAACTTTTACTCGTGCAAATAACGTTATTGAATGACAATCAATACATTCCTTTCAAATTACATACATACAGTGAAGACTCTAGAGTTGGTATTTACAAGACAGTCTATTCAAACGAAGAAACGTTCACGGAATGACTGACTCACAAAACCAACGTGAAACCTCGCACACAAGTGCATCCCTTCAACTTCCCACACTTCACAGTTGTATACAAAGAACAATTAGACAGCAAAGGAATGATATCACAGCAGACGAAGTTGTGTGATAGGATAAATAATTTGAAGATAAAGGTTAGTGCGAATATTCAAGCTTCAGACGATGTTAGGGAGTGAATACATCTGCGCTATTGTGAGTGATTTTCAGCTGCCACAAATATATTACGGTTATTTATAGGTCATGAACGGTTTCAACTCAATTAGACTCTAGGATTTTAATAAAAACGTTGTATGAAAGATGTTGCCTACCTAGGCAGCATCGTTTCAACTACAGGCATCACAGACGAGGACGTCAAAACCAGGATCGGAAACACAGCAAGACAGGCGTTCATTACTCTGAAACCAATCAGTGTAGAGATCTACTGCACTCAGCATGAAGCGTGAACAACATCCGGATTTTCAACACCAATTCAGTCAAGTCAGTGCTGCTATATGGTTCAGAAACTTGTTGCGTCACGAAAAGCACTCCCAACAAACTGCAGACATTTATCAACAGCTGCGCCAACTCTGGCTCATTCGATACTTACACTGAAGATCAGATGGCCAGAATAATAAGAATAAGCAACAAGGAGCTCTGGCTGGCCGGGTAACGAACCAACCAGCAACCTATCAGCCAACAAATATGCAGTAGAAGAAAATGGAGATGGATTCGATTGGGCATACACTGGGAAGGGCGATTGGGGACATCACACGACAGGCCAGGTCCTTGAGTGGAACCCAAATGGGAAACGAATTTAGCGTCCCAACTGAGGGTGACATGGAAATCATGTGAGGAAAAAATGAAAGGTTGTGGAGAGTCGTGGAGCGAGGTTTAAAAGACTGCAGAGAAGAGAGTGGAATGGAGACGTGCTACTGAAGCCCTATGTTCCACTAGGAACCCAAGGGACAAATAGTAATAAATAATAATGAATCAGTCTCAAGGAATAAAGTTTTATGCACCAGGTTAAAAGTTACATTCATTGTAACGATCAGTGACACTATTTGACTGCTAAATACTAAAAAGGTTAAAGTCTACACCCAACAAGGAGAAGTGCGGTTGAACTCTTATTTCAACTCTAAAATTAACTTCACGAAAGTTGACCTAGGACTAATACAACTGCGTGTCACCTTAATTCAAAAGATCCTAAGAGTAAAGTGATGAAAAGCCAACAGGATGAAGAGCAAAAATTTATATATATCAGTGATTGTGAAAGAAACCAAGAATACATTTCGAAAAAATGTAGGAAACTGAGAAAAAAGTCTATACCTAGGGAAACTAAATTTACAGGAATAATATAGTCTTCTACAGTTTTATCAGAATTGTCTTAAAACTAACCCTTCCTTAGCACGGGTGATAGTATATACCACCCTATTTTAAGAAAATAAAACTTTTACACAGTCTACAAATTACAAACTATGCATATCACCATAAGTCTATGAAAGCTAATCTCAGATGCTTAAAATCATTAACATAGCCATTTAACCTGTTTGTTAAACAAACTGAGTATAGGGAATACACACCCGTAAATACCTAGAGAATCAAAATCTAAATAAAGATAGATGTACGACAAGAAAGATCATTACTCAATCCTTACGCCAAATGTTAGCAATAACTTGTAAAAATCGATACTTTCTAATTCATTACAGTCAGGCAGAATGCATCATAAATGTGAAACTAATTAAACAACTAATCATTAATAAGGTAACATGGGAAATGATATGATTACGTATCAATTTGTTGCTATCTCATATCATTAGGGGGTAAATAATAAAGAAATGAATGACACCATCATTTGAAAAAAGTGTAGATATTAGGAACAGGAAAGAGGAATATAAGATAAGTAATAATATGTTCCGCCTTAAGTCTCTAACCAGGAAGCCTAGTTTCACATACAATGTAAGTCAGTGAGACACCATGAATTGGTAAGCAACAGAAAATACTTGTAAGTCTCTGAAAGACCTGAGATACAAAAAGGAAAACCACTTTACTTCATATCAGATAAGTGATAGGTTGAAAAGAATGGGATTAAGTACAAATTATGACGAAGTATTAAGTAGGCTACCAAACAATAAAAAGTATTTTACACAAGCACTTAAGCTACCGTATATGATAAAACAGGAAGAGAAAAAGTCTACACTGAAAAATATATGTACTCAAACAACACGAACGAAGCAAAAAGTCACCTCGTGCACTGTTATGCTGCAGGCGGCTAATGAACCACACCCATTGTGTCAGGGCTACTCAAACTCATGACTCACTGTTTAAAAGCCAACCGCTTAAACCAATAAGTCACAGTTCCAGTCAGACAACAGTATACTAATGATTCTCTTACACCGAAATTTAGCTATCTTAGGGTTTATGAAGACGAGCCAATACGTGAAGAATACAAGAAAGAAGTTAAGTTGTTGATTATAATACGCACAAGAATTAAAAAGACAACAGACAAGTAATGTTTTATAACCAATGTAAAATGCGGTTAATGAACTCCAACTTATCTAAGTATGTTGTGACAAGTTTCAAATAAAATGAGATTCAGAGCTAAAATACTCGACACTTTCACCGTTTATTATATTATAGGCTAAATAGTAGTATGATAAAGCTTATTTAGTGAAACTCGACTAGGTACATATTCCGGTAGACTAGCTTGAACCACACTAAGATGATTTGTGGTACTAGTAAGTTGCCCAAGTGGACGTAAGGTGAGAGATAAGCCTGAGATTCATTTGCTGAGTTAAACGATCTCACTTATGAGATATATCATCTAAAAACATAATAAAAGCATCTTGGCAAAAACACTAAAGCAAAGTAGTACGATAATATTCTAAACTAGTTTCATCTATCTACTTTCACAAATCCTTATCATGAAAAAAATAAAATTGAGGAGATAAACACACCTCAGTGAACGTGCGGAAACTTCAGGGTTAGCCAATGGTGGGCTGGGACCACATCCAGTAGGATTCTGCGACTGAACTCGATTGGCTGAGTTTGCAGCATCTACATTCTGAGGTGCAAACTCGTTCGTTTTGCCTTTTAAGTTCACGCATGGACTGCTTCTTTTGCTAGAAGACTTGGGAATTGAGGTCCTTTGTGTCATCGACTTTCCAGAGCCAAGTTCTTTGGTATGTGATTTTTTATTTTCATCTTCTAATTGTGTCATTCTTTCCTTAGCCGCAGAGAAACTATCTTCTTTGGCATTAACAGTAATTCTGGATACCATCTTTCCCAGACAGTGTGTGGAGTTTCTTAAACACAATGTGGGTTTAATATAGAAGTAGGCCTTACCCTCTGATACGCAAACAATTAATAGACTCATCGTGACTACTGGTTAGGCCTGAAGTACTAAATGTGAACCTGCTGCTGTGTTTTCCGACGGGACTACAAACGACTACAAGGATTCAATAAATTAAATATAAAGACATTACTCCTTCGGACCCACTGAATGTTATTCGGAAAGAGTGATCTCCCTGCAACGATTAATCAACGACTTAGTCGAAAACTTACTAATGTGCCAGCAAGCTGTTCAATATCTCTTAATGCAGAATCAGTAAGGCGAAAATGAACTAGTTCCAGATCATTGTATGACGCATCATCAAACACGAAATTGGAATTTTTTGAACAGCGAAGAGACATATCAATCACAGCTGCTACGGATGTCGGAATCAGCTGGGAACCGCACCCGCCAGTAATCAAAAAATCGGCGTTGTTGAAAGATTAAAACAATCAGGCGTAGACTTCACTGAAGTTAAGGATAAGCCAATTTTCCTGTGTCAATTTGTGGGTCATAAAACGGCAGCAAATATTAGGACATCTTTTAAGCATGTTGGGTGAAATAGTTGAAAATATATGTTGCTGGTTGAATGCTTTACATAACTGGTTTAAATGGTTGTTGACAGAATGGAAGAGGCTTTCGCTTAACTGGCTTTAGCATCCAAAACCCTTGTATCACTGCTTTTTGCGTTTTTTAACCCGCGTGCAAATAAAGAGGCAGCAAAAAGCGGAGGTTAAAATGTGGAAATTCAATTAGCTCTAGGCAGATCCCAGCCACATGTCAAATAAGTATCCAGTTTACGTTTAAAGGATTCATACGAAGTAGGTTCGATCACGTCTGCAGGACGAGCACTCCAGGATTGACCACTCTTATGGAAAAGAAGTTACGCTCGATATCTGACCTGATATCTTTGAGGCTTGGTTCCTTAATGTGTCCACTAAGATTAGTGCTACAGCTAAGGTTCACTAAGTGACTCAGTGGGTGTTCAGGGATGCCCAGGACGTTTTGAGTTATAATCAAGTCCCCCCTAACCTTCTATGTTCCAGGAGATGCCGATTCAGCACAACCAGTCGTTCTTCGTATGTTTAGGCCTAAGTCCTCGAACAGATTTTGTCGTACGCCTCTGGATACTTTCTAAGCTTGGTTTCTCCTACTGGAGGGAAGGGGGGATGACAATGGTGCCGAACTTCAGGTGAGGTCGTATGAAGCCGTCGGAGATCTGGTGGAAACATCTACGGTTGAGCTGTCCAAAAATTCGACTAGGGGTTACTAACGCTAAGTTTCCACCAAATGCTTTTCTGTCAGAGTTGGTATAGGATTTTAAGTCTTGAGGGACTAGAGCGCTTAAATCCTTCTCCGTCATCGATGCTTCAAGTTCCATGCCGTTTATGTAATATACATCACATCCGTCGTGTTTGCGTGTTTCGCCATGCATACGCGCCCGTTGTTGACTGCCCAGTCGTGAAGTTGTGTTAAATCTTCCCGTAGAGGAACACTGTCTTCCGAACTCGTGATTTCTCTCCATACTTTCGAGCCACCAACAAAAAGAAGGACTTCTTAAGAAACCTGCTGAGGCAAGTTATATATACATATATATATATATATATATATATATATATATATACATACATATATTAGAAGGGGCCCTATTTGTGAACCTTGAGGAACACCATTAGGACATTCTGTTTCTTCAAACATGGAGAAACTAAATCGGATTCTAAATGAACAGCCTCGTAGGCATGAAGATAATTAGTCAGTGAGCCGTTGTCTCATTCGGATCGTTCTTAATTTATCGTGATTAACACGAATTCTAGGTAAATAACATCCACGCGATCTCAGCGGTCGATAACGCTAGTCTATCTATCTACTGCAGCGGATAATTTAGTAATGCAGGATTACTTTCAAAATCCGTGTTGTTGGGATGTAGAGAAGTTGACTGTTGCAAGGAAATCCCACAGTCCATCATATATTAACTATCCCATCACTTTAAAAGGTATGAATAAAAGCGTCGCCAGTCAGTGTTTCATTGGATTGGTTCCTGACCCCTCTTTAAGATTGGCGTTATGTAACCCAGGTTCCAAGATTTGGATACTTACCCTTGCCTTAGAGAATTCCTAAATAACTTGCTTAAAGGTTCAAACAAAACTGATGCTTCTTCCCGTAGTACCGCCGTATGGATTTATCTGGTCCCGGAGAGGTCTGTAGTCAGTAAAGGCAGTTTGCGCTGTACTAGCTGAACAGGAGCAGGCATCTTATGCCATGTGACCAGTGGTAAGTCTCATGATGCTACGTATGTGAAAGGTTCTGCCCTGTTTTGACAATATAGTGTAGTCGGCTAATGCCCAGCTGTGATAGAGTTCCATTGGTTCCTGTTTCTCTTGGAGAGAAAGGTTTACCTACGCAGGAGACTCGGCCTAAAATGTAAGACATTTTGACAGTGTCCTTCGAAACGGCCACTTCTATAGGGGCAAGATTAGATAAATGGACAGCGAAGTCGTAACTTACTTGACGATATGCCAATAAGAGGCGTACCTACGACCAACGGGGAGGGAGCAGCAAAAATGCCATCTTCAGCGATCAAATGTGTAAGCTGGTACGTTTTCATTTGGCTTACGCTGTGTGAAATACGTAACATCACTGTGTATTGATTGATCACGGGAGTGCAACCAATTTCATGTTGCCTAGTCCTGAGTGCAGATCGAATTCTATCGATCATATAACTTTTACTGTTACCCAGTTGACGATGAGCCAGAGGAGAAGATAACCCTAAACTGTACTCCGAGACGCATACGCTTCATCGGTTTCAGCGACAATGGTACCTTGTTAGTCTGGAATCTACATCCTGTCGCCAGTTAGGTTCTTCGTTAAGTCTCTAACCTCCCTGACGGTTCAAAATGTCTTCAGCTGATTTACAAGTGCTGAAACAGACCCCTCCTTGAATTCTTTAATAAAACTGCTAAGTACGACGGTTACAGGTATGCTTAAAATGATGAATCCAGTATAGCCTTCTCTCGCGGGTATTATCGCCACCACAACAGACGAATCACTAGTTCGAAAACCACACTCTTTGTTAACCAGAAACTTATTCTCTTCGATATATCTTGCAGCTAAGCAGCAATATACTTCACCGGGTGATAGTTGGATGATAAATACACTGACCCAACTGTTTGGCTATGATGAAAATAGCTTTTTTGCACTCCCTCTCTGTTTCTAACCGCTTCAGGGACATACTTAACAGGGCCGACAAGGGTTCGGCGAATTCGCTTACAGAAGTCGATAACACTGGATGACGCAGCTCATTCGGGCAGCTGGATACAGCACGGTTGCGATTCTTGGGTAAATTAAGCATCTCCAGGTTGCATGTGGGGATAATTCTCAACTACGGTGTTCCAAAACAACTTGTTTGAGGTAATATGATGGTACTTTAGGCTTAGGTAATTGTTCCTCTTTCCCTAATAATGGAGTGCTGTCAAGACGTATTATTTTTATGACTTAACCTAGATAGGTTCTTGATTCGGTATAGGAAGTCAGTCCGCTTAACATGAGTGAGTTTAATCTCTGTCCATGGCTTAAAAAAGGAAGATGTCTTAATTCTGAAATGTTTCATCAAGAGCTGTTTCACAAAACGTAGGGGTATTCAAACGAATTTCAGGACGAAAATTAGCCTGCTCAAACGGAGTTTCTCAAAGTTATTGTTGTGCTCCAGAGATGATCATTTATAAAAGGGGTAACTGGTGACTTAAATTCTGAAGATGGAAAGGAATCTGATGTCCATCACTTTGTTACAAGCAGCCACAAGCCTTTCGGGCTCCTCATGTTCGCTTTTTAATACTGATAGACCTAATTTGCTGGTAGGTTCGATTGTAGTAAACCCAGCTGCTAGTTTGCTATGGCTTCAAAGAATCTACTGAGCATCAGTAATTTTTGTCCAGCCGAGGACGGACTCATATTCTGTCATATGACTGTAATGTAACCATGGGTCAATTCACAAAACAGTTGTTCATTATATGTTTCTAAGGTGGCAGTGAGAACATTCAAAGTAAAAACGATAAGGATTGTTAGGTGATTAATTAAGAAACGAAAAACAGCGGGATAAAACGAGAATGCAGAAGAGAGGGAAGTTAGGCGAGTGCAGGACAGCATATGAGTAGTTAATTATGTACAGATGAAAGGTTAAATCACGCCAGGATTGGTAGTAACAATAAATAGAGTTCTTAAACAAGACAGCTTCGAAACAAGCCAACGTCCGCCACCTCATGTTTTTTGACTGTACAAGAGAAATCCCTGTTTTGCTACACATACACCTAGTCTCTCTTCAAAGCTACTGATTGACAGAGCGGTGAAGAAGACAATCTTTCAGCCATCCAAATAACTGCGGTCCTTAAAGTTACTCTCATGGTTTAAACCCATAGGGTACCATTACCAGAGCGTGGTGTTTTTGATAAAATGTGGGCTGCACGCACCTCCGCATAAGTCACCGCCCCATAGAGACTGAAATAGTGTCATATTTAGTCTTGTATTCAGGAGGGAGATAAGGAACGTGTAAATAACTAATCACCACTCTTTGGTACCATTATTGTTGGTGAGTTGATGGAGAAGATATGTGAAGGTGTATTAGTAAAGCATTTTGAGATTATCACCTTCTGACACGGGAGGAATGTGATTTTCGAGTTTAGCCGTCTTGTTTAATAAGTTTTCTCCCAGTGAGGCTACACGGATCAGGGGATAGGGACGATGAACTCTCCATGGTTATTACGTCTATTAATTTCGACGAACCTTGTACTGTTTTAGGAACTGTCCTGGTGCGAACTTGACAGATCTAAAGGACAATCACTAATTATTCGAACCTGTCACGAATATGGGACCAAGAAGGAACGCAATAAAGTAGTCGGATGGAACAGCATATTCGCGAGGTCCAGCCAAGATACCGATGCTTTCCAACTAACCGGCTACAGGTTCGCTTACGAGCAGTGCTACGTAACACGGCAGCGTGCCGAATGGCCAGAATGCTTGGCCGGGTGCTTTCAGCTTAGCGATTCCAGTTGAGATACGAAGGTCAACATCAGTGTTGAATCTCATCGGAACCTAGGCAACTGATTCTGGAGAAGTGTGTGACGCTACACTGTAATGGAATGGTTCTCGGTATAAGGCAGATTACAAAACATCAAATCGATTCATACGTCTGCTGCAGCCCTGAGCAAATAAATGGCAAGTCATCTGTTTGTTGAATCTAGAAGCTAGTGTTTAACTTCTTCGACACTCTTAAAGCTATAGAAACTGATAGTGGCACACAATCTACTTTGACGGCATTTTAATCTTTTTGCAGCATTCACGATCACCACCTGATCACCCGCAATCAGATACCTGGACAGAAAGATTTGTGGATAAGTTTAGACGCACTTCGTTGAAAATGGAA